AAAACATAATTATAACCTTACGGTCTGTATTGTTCCGCTCAATGCTCAGAAATGTCGTCTTATCGCAGCCTTGTAATATTAAATGTTTGCTTGGGAGCTGTAATCATAATGTGTTCTTTTAGATTGAACAAGTGTAAATAAACCACTAAAAAAGAATAATATAATAAATAAACGACCATATAAAATGTAAATATCTTGTGGTAATTGACATCCAATCCATAATAAAGCATAGAATGAACATATAAACCAAATTGTAGGAACTGAATATTCTCTAGCACCAAAAGCAAATTTAAATTGGATAAGAGTTGTTAAATTTCTTTGTTCTGCTAATAGAAATAATATTTGTAGTGATGCTAACATAACTAATAAACCAGCAGTTTTGTTAGGAATGGTTTTTAACATTGCATAAAAAGGTAAGAAATACCATTCTGGAACAATATGTAAAGGTGTAGCATATCTATCTACTGTAATTGCATTATCTGGATGTGATAATGGTAATATTCCAAATAAACTTTGAGCTAAGAATAATACTAATACATTATTAAATCCTTTAATGTCAAGACTTAAAAGATTTGGATAGAAGGGTATTTTTAAAGCTGTATCATACCCTAAAGGATTAGTGCTACCTTGTAGATGTAAGAAGAATATGTGTATAAATACGATACATAAAGCTATAAATGGAAAAGTAAAATGTAATACAAAGAATCTTTTTAAAGTTGGGTCACTTACAAGATATCCACCACAAATCCATGAAACAAGTCCAGGAATAAAATAAAGTAAATTAGTTATAACAGTAGCACCCCAGAAACTCATTTGACCCCAAGGTAATACATAACCCATAAAAGCTGTAACAATAGATATTAAGAATATCATTAATCCAGATATCCATGATAAAGGTAAATATGAATATGAATAATTTAATCCTCTTAAAATATGTAAGTAAGTTAAAATAAATACAAATGAAGCACCTGTTGCATGCATATATCTAAAACACCATCCACTCCATAATTCTCTTAATATGTGTTGTACACTATAATATGCATAAGATATTTCTGGAGTATAACAAGTTGCTAATAATACACCTGTTAAAATTTGTATAAAAAATACTATTCCTAAAAGAAATCCATAATTCCATAAGAAATTAATATTTAGTGGACATGGATAATGAATTAAGTGTGCTTTAGCTAAATTAATAGAATAATAATTCATATAAACAAAAAATAGTTATATATTATTTAAAAATTAATAAACCAAATAAAGTCATAGTTGATCCGATAGAGCAAATCATATTCCAACCATTTAAAGCGTCTGGATAATCAGGAATACGTCTAGGCATTACATTAAATCCAAGGAAATGCATAGGTAAAAATGTTAAAACTACACCTACGAAGAATAACATTGACCATAATATAATAATTGAGTTTTCACGTAAATGTTTACCAAAGAAATTTTCTTGGAATGCACTTACTGTTGTAAATAATGCAATAATTGCTCCAATTGATAGAACAAAGTGGAAATGAGCAATTACATAATATGTATCATGTAAAGCTATGTCAATAGCAGCATTACCTAATATTACTCCAGTAGTACCACCAAAAGTAAATGTACATATAAATAATAATGCTAGAAGAGATGAACTATGTGTTATTCCAAAATTACTACCCATATATGTACATATCCAATTAAATACTTTTGTACCAGTTGGAATAGATATTAAAATAGTTGTAGAAGTAAAATATGCTCTTGTATCTACTTCTAAACCTGTTGTATACATATGATGAGCCCATACTAAACTTCCTAATATTGCAATACAGCTCATAGCTAAAATCATAGATTGATTACCAAGTAAGCTTCAGGAATAGTTAGTAGATATTACATGACTAATTACACCAAAACCTGGTAATATTAGAATATATACTTCTGGATGACCAAAAAACCAGAATAAATGTTGATATAGTACAGGATCACCTGCAAATGTAGGATCATAAAATAAAGTATTAAAATGTAAATCAGATAATAACATTAAAACTCCACCAGTTAATACAGGTAATGTTAATAATAACATAACAGATGTTATCACTAATGACCATGTAGATACACTTAATATACCAAGAGTTAATCCTTTAGCACGTAGATGCATTACTGTAGTAATAAAATTTAATGAAGACATTATACTTGCTACACCTGAAATTAAAAGTCCAATTATTATAACATCTACTGCAACAGGAGATAAAGACATTAATGAAGTACTTAATGGTGGATATAAAGTCCATCCAGTACCACCACCAAATTCAGCTGCTGTGGATAAAATTACAAACCCAAAAGCAATAGGTTGTAATAATAAAGATATACTATTTATTCTTGGGTATGCTAATTCTGGAGATCCACATAGAATTGGTAAGAAATAATTACCAAAACCACCAAATAATCCAGGCATTATATTAAAGAATATCATAATAATGCCATGAATTGTAAATATCATATTATATAAATTAACATTTTCTTGAGCAATTATTCTTAATGATGAAGAGTATAATTCAGTACGTAAAATAACAGATAATAAAAATCCATAACTACCAAATATAAATGAAAACCATAAATAGTATAAACCTAAAGTTTTATGGTTACAATTTGTAATAAGTGCATATCTTTGAAAAACAATAAATAATATATATTTGAGGCTTGGATATGAATGAGTAAGATTCGATCCATACAGTCCCAGCGACAGCGGTTATACTTTGGAAAAGCCGAGTATTATCCATCCATGTCAGGCGTTAAAAGCGTTCGTTCTTATTGTGTAGGCCAGTCGAGTTCCTTTAATGTAGTTTCCTCACAGCTTTTTTCGGTCCAAAGTACGCGATCTCTTGTATGGTAAAAAAGGGCTTAAACCAACAGCATAACATTTTTTAGTCCCATGCTAGTATATTTCATATATGATCTTATCGTTTGGGCGTAATATTTCCTTTCCGGCTGTTTCCATCTCAACTCTACAGGTTAACGCCTGGAGTTCTTCATCTAAATTGAATAATTCTTGCGTGACGAGCGGTGTGTACAAGGCAACAATACACGCTATATTTTTTATTATATTGCAAGGCTGCGATGAGACGACATGGAGGTGCCAATAGTATATAAGGATAAGAGCTCCATATATACTATAACCTGTTATCCCCGGCGAACCTTCTTACCGTTATATGTTTACGGCACACAAAAAAAACCGTTCTTATAAATAATATTCTTTATATTTAGAAATTATAGTAATATAAAAGCACACTTAGTTTCTTATCCATCATTAACTTCATTATATGGAACATCTTTAAAATATTTTTCAGTTGGTATTTTATTTACTTTTAATCCAATTATTTTAATGATATTTATTTATTCTAAAAGAGAAAGTTTCTATTCTACATTTTCATCATTAGCATCTGGTATGTTATCATTAATAATTTCAGAAGCTTTATTATTTGTTACATATTTTTGGGGTATATTACATTTTAGTTTATCTCCTTATCCATTATCAAATGAAGGTATAATTTTAACTTCTTCTAGAATGTTAATTTTAACAATTACATTTATATTAGCTAGTGCATCTTGTATGACTGCATGTCTTCAATTTCTAATAGAAAAAGGAATGAGTTTTGAAATATCAAGTATTGTATGTATAATATATTTAATTGGTGAATGTTTTGCATCTCTTCAAACAACTGAATATCTACATTTAGAGTATTGTATAAATGATGCCATTTTAGGAACATTATTCTATTGTGTAACAGGTTTACATTTTTCACATGTTATTGTTGGTTTAATATTATTATTAACATACTTTATAAGAATAGTTGAAGTTTATGATACAAATAGTGAATGGTCATACTCATTATTTGGTATATCATATATTGTTTTACCTCATTCTGATCAAATTACTTTATTATATTGGCATTTTGTAGAAATTATTTGGTTATTTATAGAGTTCTTATTCTATTCAGAATAATTTGAACATATATGTCCTGTTTCAAGTATTGTTGCTAATATGGACGAACTAATAATTGTGTTCATAGCTAGAGTACGTAAGGAAAAAGAAAGGTTAACCGCTATCAAAAATAAATGGCGAGAAGGGAAGTGTGTTTCCATAGAAACCTTCATATAGACTATGCTGACTTGAGTAATGATAAATTGCTAGTATCAGCTATCCATAGTAAACTGATTCCGTTTTGACCGGTCATTTTCTTTGCCTGGAGGTTACGTCCATACAGTTATAAGCAAATGGAATGTTAGAAGCAAACACTAGCGGTGGAACACATTGTTTCATTCGATAGTAAACGCTACACCTTACCAATCAATTTGAACTTGAACAAGGTTCCATTGGAATGAGAGTTCACCGTTAGAAGCGATGCGTGAGCTGGGTTAAGAACGTCTTGAGGCAGTTTGTTCCCTATCTACCGTTTTATCTTTGTATGGAAGATGATACGTTAAGTTCTATGAAAGAATTTACCCGCCTTGTCAAAATCGATAGCGTCATAGCTCTTTAATGGGTTATTGGCCTGGCATCTGTTTCTATTCTTTTGGGCTAAAAGTTTACATTTTTTACCAGCCTGGGATCAAAAAGTATAGTAACACAGATAATTCCCAATCAAATTGGATGGTGTTGGCTGGGCATTAAATCCACTCTTTTAATGAAAAGGATTTGACGGTCAACCCATTATTGTTCTACATTACGAGATACCAAAAGCTTATATTATAAATAACCCTACAAAGTTGAACATAGGCTGAGTCTCTATGCCTTGAATGGAGCACTGGATTGGAGACCCGGGAAACCGGCGCTACCATTTATAAGAAGTTAATAATCTGGAAGCGTCTGTAAGGTTACAACACAAGTCACTGATAATTCCGATGAATAGTTCAAGTTACTGACATCTGCCCGGCATCAATGATAAACGGCGGCTGTATCGTAAACGGTCCTAAGGTAGCAAAATTCCTTGTCGGGTAATCTCCGTCCTGCATGAACGGTGTAACGACTTCCCCATTGTCGCTAGTGTGAGACTCCTAATAAATAGAATTATCCATGAATATGTGGAATACTACGGCCCGACGGTAAGACCCTGAGCACCTTAACTTCCCTAAAAAGTTCTTATGTGTTGGCATGGTTACGAGATTTAAGGATGAAACCTTCCTGATCGACTCGTGAGGTAAAAGAAACAGTCGGAGCGAAGTCGTAACATGGTAGTTGACAGTGAACTTGTAGCTGAACCAAAATGGCTGCTGGAAGTAGAAATCGTTATTGAGCGTCAGGAAGTCCTGGACGTTGAATCCAATAGCGTAGTTTATAAAGACATCGATATACGGATTTCTCCTGAAAAAACGCGAAAAATCCTAGAATGTTTGAACAGGAGAGAATATTTTGGTAGTGGAAGTACGAATTGAAGTGTGGAGAGAATCCTCTTAGTAACTCAACATCTGGAAATCGAGAGAGATGCCACAAGTTGTCTCTATGAATAGTGGTATAGCCATGTCTCCATGAACTATAAAGCATGTGATCTAATTACAGAACAGGAAAATAATAGACCGAACCTTGGACTCTTGAAATATTCTTGGGAGATTCGTAATTAGTGGTTAAAGGTCAATCAAACATGAATATAGACGGTTTTCTGCGAAATCTATTTGGAAGATACATCATTGGGAAGTTTAGCCAGGAAGTCAGCGTCTTAATTAAAAACACCAGGCATGCAATACCGAACATATAAGTACTTCTATATACCATAAATAGTAAAACCAATCAAGGTGTACTACAATTATCCCATACATCCTAACTTTAATAACGTATCTATTATAAACCAGAACTTCTTTAACTTGCCAACTCCCTGTCATGTCTTGCTAACGGCTTGTACGGTAATAATATCGTTATATTATTTTTGGCGGCTGAGCATGTTAACTCGATTGATACTCAAACATACTTAATGATCGAATCATCCATCAACAGCTATGGTAACTATATTTACATTATCCTAACTA